CCCCCCCCCAAACCCAGATTTCTGTTTAACTGCCCAAACTCAGTAGTATCATGTTTCCACTGCACGTAATGTGTAATGGTTATGGTAACCCAAAGTTACAATAATATGAAATATGAAACTCACAAGATTGTGTGGTAGGCACAACAGTAATCTGTGTCACATCTGCCTGTTAACATTTCAATGCAATGCTGGCTGCATTGTTTTCTCCAAAAGAGCAAGAGAGCACTGAGCATATCAAAGTGAAATGCACTCAAATGTATTAGTCTTATGCCTCGTGCAATGTTTAGGGTAGGTTAAAAAGATAGTGGTTGTATCTTGCCATCTATAGGACTGTGCATTGTTATGGCTCGGTTGCTACATCTGTCAAATGGTGATAATAATCCCCTTGCTCTTTGAGGCCAATTGATGAAAAATCTGCTTCGAGATCATCACTGATAACTATTACTGACAGAGCTTCCATTCTATTCCCTATTATGGAGCAATACTGAAAACTTACCAGCTGAGGAGCTTAATAATATAGAACAAACCCTGTCCACTTAGTTCTGTGACTGCCTTTTCCATTACCTTTTCCTCTATGCCAGCAGTGGTGCATGTCTCTGCAAACTGCATGATACTCAGTATGTAGTTTTGAGGCTTCATCTGGCTCTGTGCACAGCTCTCTGAGCAAGGCGCTGCTTGGAGCCCTCTTGACGAGGAGGCCTTGGTGCCTTGAGGAAAGCTGACAATTAGAAAACAAAGCCACAGACAGAGACGGGTGTGTGGGTGGCAGTGACATGGACAGAAACAGACTCCTCAAGGCTCAAAACTGGCGACAGACTTCAGTGGCTGGATCTCTCACTGAGTCATCGGTAATGCTGCAGCTCTTATAACATTTATTTCACTGTTTTGGAGAACAAATTAACAATTGCTTTGTAGCAACCTAAGCTGCTAGCTTATAAATAAACTTTTGTGCATTTACAGTGTGTTCCAAAAGTATTTAATTATTTTTTATGTCTCTGTAGCTTTTGAAGGTTGCATCTCAGTTACTGAAGATGAGGTCAAATATGTGCTTTAAAGCTCAGGCCTCAGCTGGGGGGAGTGATGTGCTCTACTGCTACATGTGGACCTACCCCTCTTAGAGCTGTCCAACAACCAGAGGTAGGTTGTCTGCTGCTACCTCTCTTCACAGGGTGTAGTATAACCTCCTTATGGATCTGGACAGCTCTGCTAGTTGTGCATAAGGACTATAAGGACATGGGATGGTGTTCTTTCTATACCCAAGCAGTTCTTTCCACTCTGGGCAAAATAGAATGACTGCCTGGCTCCTCCTACTGATGATTCAGCGATTGCCTCTTTACGCCCTCCACTCCATGTATCCACAGAGCAGTAGAACCCAGCCTAGCCCTGTGTAAACTGTAGGGATGCCATTGCCTTGCTGGCATGCACTTTGAAAACTGCAGTGAGTGTATCAAGGTTTATAAGCACACAGCATGTTAAAGAAGTAGCGTCACTGAGCCTCACTGTCCAAGAAATTCTGTCCTTTTAGTGAAATGTTGATTTAGACATGTTTTCTTCCTTTGCGTGTTTCCTTGAGACATTGGTCTCTCTCTAGTTGACTAAGTTAAATGCCCTGTTGCTTTTGTTGCACTCTCTTCTCTCTCTTTCTCCCTCTTTCACAAAGGTTTTTTTGTTTCCAAAAAATGGAATCCTCCACTACAGCTACTACAGATATCCCTTTACTCTGCATTCTGCTCTCATGGAAGGTATGATTCTGCTTTTGAATCCTAAACAGGAAAGGCCAAAATCTACTGTCCAGTTCTTTTTTCTGCTAATCTTCCAAAACTGTTCAGTGTGCCAGCCCTGAGGTCCAAGGCTAGATTGTAATTTGGGCTATATTCGTGTGCTAAGAAATATGGGGGATTAAACACACTCTTAAGCCTCTGCACTGACCACCTGAACCAAACCCCAGGTCCAGGTGCTCAGAAGTCAGCAGGCGCCACATAACTGTGTACTCCACCCAGAAGCAAGGAAGCATGACATTAGGTTGTCAGGGCCAGAGAATGGATGAAGCTTCAGCTCCATAACCCCCGCCAATGACCAACAGAGGAAGGGAGCATTGTCATTTTCTGCCATTAATAAATTATTCCTTTCCCTGCAAAGTGAAGAGACAAAAGGAGGGGGGAGGAAGTTGTGCCTCTGAAGTGTGTCAATAAACAAAGCAAAAAGCAGTATGCACAAATGTTCAGGGAAAAATGAACAAAAATGTTTTGAACAGTAGAGTATTATTATGTGTAACCCAAGCCCTAACCCTAACCCTAGTCTACAGAAACTAAGCCACTCCACACTGGACAGGGAAAGATGGAAGGAAATAGTAAGGAAGGCATTGGACACCAATGGATGTTGAGTTCATGGTTGTTGTTGATGATGGTGATTACAGTAGTTCCTGAGAGCTCCAGGCTCAAATTGTGCTAGGTGCTGTACAAACACAGGCAGTCATGCCCTGCCCCCAAAAGCTTACAATCTATGCATAAGACACAACATAACCAGTCATTCCCCATGCCTGTGATGTTTTCAACTAATAGCCCAGATATAGACATTATGCACAAAACAGTGGTAGAGATTTTCTTTAAATGATCCCTCCCCTCCCCCCACAAAAGAAAATTCACTTCTAAACTGAGATTCAATCATGTAAGGAACCTCAAACAAGAATGCTATTGCTTGCTATTAACTTTTTTTAAACAATGGGTTTTAATAAACTTCCTTTCCTAACTTTAATGGTAGTGTTTGTAAGGCACTCAGACTTGTGATGGTCACAGTGTAAGAACATAGGAATAGAATTATTACATGCGCCATGCTTTCTATTCTCTCTCTCTTTCTGTTACTCATATCCACACACAGAGGATCTAATGATGAATACATGACCACAAAACTATAGTTAGCATTAAAACTTGTGAAAAAAAAAGATGTTGAAGGCTGACATTTGAAACCACAAGAGTTCCCTACAAATAATTCCAAAAGATTTTCTAAGATGAAGCATTTCAAAATGTAAATCTGTAATGTGCAGCCAGTGCTTTGAAAATACAAAAAGCTACATGACTGCTAAGTGCTGCTGTGATTTAGGAGGATAATGAATACTGAGTGGCAATCAGGTGGAAACAATAAAAATAATCATGAGATGAAATAACTAAAGACCAATTATAGTCTAATCAGTGACCCATATCCTGAATTTCTAGAAGTAACATACTGAGGTTACGTCTAGACTGCAGAGTTAAATCGGAAAAAGAAACACAATTTTCAGTACGCAAATTGCGTATCTTTTTCTGATTTACTTTTGTAAGAGCCTTTTCCAAAATTTGGCATGCTTACACAATGCCAAATTTCAGAAAAAAGTGCTCTTTTGACACATCCCTTATGCCTCATAGAATGAGGTTTACAGGGATGGCAAAAGAGCATGTCCGCTTTTTTTGAAAAATTCAGAAAAGCGGATGTGTTCGTTGGATGCAGCAATGCTTTTCTGGGATACTGGCAAAAGAAGTACAATGGAGCAAGGGAGCTGCCTATGGAAGATTTGAAGGCTGGATCAGGCTTGGTAAATGAGCTAAGCAGGGACAGATGATGGTGGGAGGGGACTGCAAGTAACCAGTTCCTATAAGAGAACTGAGGGTATGTCTACACTACCCCGCTAGTTCGAACTAGCGGGGTAGTGTAGACATACCCCTTGTTTTCCTTTATTCCCGTAGCTAGTTTAAGCTCATTTTGTGCCTTTGCCTTTCTGATCTTGCCCTGCATTCCTGTGTTGTTTGCCTGTATTTATCCTTTGTAATTTGTCCTACTTTCCATTTTTTATATGACTCCTTTTTATTTTTAGATCATGCAAGATCTCGTGGTTAAGCCAAGGCGGTCTTTTGCCATTTGTCTTTATTAAACTTCAAGCGTAGCATGGTAGAAAGGCGGTAAAGTAATATTAATATAGAATTCTATTACACTACCTTTTTTCT